TCAGCTTAATCGTCTATTACCAAGGAGGGCTAAGTTTTTCAGGAATCGTTCACGGTTAGGCTGCTTCCTGCCCAAGGCTGAGTTCTACTGATATGTAGGAGTGGCAGAGCTGGAACTTAAATTCCCTTCAGCCCTATCCAATCAACTTTGTTTAAAAGCCCCTGTTTTTTTGTATTTTTGTAAGTATGTGTTTTTTATGCACTAGCCTCTGACTTCGAACCGTCTCCCTTTCGGCCATACCAAAACATCACAGAAGTTCGAGGGGCAGGATGGCTGTGCATCCAACAGGCTGGAATATGGTGGAATGTGGAGCTGAGGCCCAGACAAGGACTCAGACCCAGGAGTCCTGCTGTCCAGCCTAAAGCCCTGGACGCAAGTACGCTGTATTCGTTAAGGCAATCATACTTGATGGTGGATGATAAACATTTATGCCTTATAGTGCGAAGAGCAAGGTGGTCTACATCCGCAACCAGCCCCTTCAGGATAGATATAATTTAATAAGTTCATCAAGGTTACGAGCAACCAAAATGTTGCCGGCTTCATTATCAGATGGGATTGTTTTCATGATTGAGTGTGATAGCGTTTCTGGATGGTGATCCAAACATGGGTGTAAGGAGGATGGAGGAAGACTGTTTTTAGTAAAAACACAGCTGCAACTCGAAGAAGATGAGCAAAAAACTGATTTACAAAAGCTTTAATATAATTATATGAAATGGCAGGCCGCTTTAAATAAATCCCAGCTGCACTGTTAAAGTCATAGCAGTGCTCTGATGTCAGAGGTCAACATCTGGCACTGGCAGGACTGTGCATCCCAGCCTGAAGGGAGAAAGGCCCTATCCTTACAAGTTCTTAAAAATCAGTTGTGCTGTGTCAAACAGCCACAGGGTGACACTGAGATCAGCATAAATTAGTTCTTGTCTCTTTCAGCACCCTCCATGCCTCAGGATGTCGAGAGCGTACTCTAACTCATCTACACAGCTGGTGGTGCGTTTGGTCAACCCCCCTGTCTCACCAAATGGAAACCAAGACTTACTTCTACCTGGTTCAGGATGGCCAACAAGCTGAAGGACAGAAGAGCTCTATCAGCAACAACTACTGCTCTAAAGGTATACGCACACAACACACACACACACACACACCGTATACATTTCACCTTATCGCTAGTTGTTAAATTAGAGTACACGTGTCATACAACGCATCTCTGCTTCCTCATCCAGAGCTCAAGATCCCCATAAGGATGCTTGCCAATAGGTTGGTGGGAGGACCCAGGAAGAGGACACCAAACCACTAAGCCAGACCCTGGACGGGGCAGACAAAGGCCCCTGTTGCCCCTGCCCCAAATCAGTCGGAAGGACCTGGAGGCGGAGCCTGGGACGCCTCCGTACCGAAAAGTCTTTGAAAACTTCCTGCACAACTCTATTTTACACCAAAGTAGGCGACTCATCTTCATTGCGTTGCTGCATGGCACAGGCGTGGACTGACTAAACTAATATTTTTGTTTAAACCCAATAATGATGACTTCAAAAACTCAAATATGAATGTATGAACACAGACAGATTTTACCTCATTGGTCTGCTTGATTCTAGGTTTGTCTGTCTGCTGCTTTGCTCTTCAACATCTGGATCACATTTTCTTATTCCAAACACACACACACACACACACACACACTTACGCAGAAAGAGAAATCTAATTACAAAGTAAAATTGGTAAAGCTCTTGAAAAGGTGTAACTTATACACATTTGGCATTAGATTAAACAAAACCTGGTTACGACTCTTTTCTACTGGGGATAAAAAAACTAACTCCTTCTCCCATTTTAACCAAATGTCCATGACATTGGAATACAGCTTGGGTTTTGTTATATCACATATGCATATAACTGCTTGTAAAAGTCAGTACCTACAAAATCCACCGAGCTGTTTTTGGTAATTTATTTAGAATCTGCCCCACCAAGTTTCATCCAGCTGCTTGTTAAGCCAAATGGCAATGGAAACAATCCAAGTCAGTTATAAACTAAGGATTGAACGAGGAATATTTGGGATCAACATGGAACCTAAAACAATACCTCCTTGTACAGTCATAATGTTGTGCTTCATCAACTTCTGTAAACAAAGCCCTTGCTCATCTGGCAGGAATCTCTTTGTTAATGTTACTTTTTCATTTTACTTTTTGCCAGTTTCTTCCAGATGGTCCCCCTAGCAATTTGGAGGGAAAATAAATTGACTTGGTAGATTTTTCTAGATGTTCCCTACTCTTAAAACTTCTCCCTGGCAAACTTTCTCCTTCCATCCATCCCTCCTTACCTCCCTTTTTTATCTCCACTCTTACCACCCTCTTCCTCTCACCCATCAGGCCATCAGATCGTTCGCCGCAGAGCTCTTTGGGGTAG